ACAAAGGTACTTATTAAAATTAATATGGTTTAAGATAGACAATCTATCTTGAACCATATCCATTTGTATATCTCAAACTCTTCATATTATACTACTTAAATGATTATTTAATTGAAATATTTTGCCTATATTATAAACATTTGCTTCTCTTCCGTTATCACTTTTTTTTTTCTCTTTTCATTTTTGTTATATAGTATGCATGAGAATAGAGAAGTTTCAAATATGTTTGTTTGCTTCTTTGCATATCTTTTTTCCTTCTATTTTTTGAAAATTCGATAAGAAGTTTGAAGTGTACAAGAGTCAATCCAAAAGATTTTGGTATTTAGAGAGGATGAATAATTGTCTCAAGATTATATGTTTAGAGCAAACAGAACATTGTTGTCAAATTTGATATGTTATGTGTTGAAAATGTGTTTGTAAAAGAAAAAATAAGATAGAAACAAAGATAAAATTTTAGGTGAAGTTTATACATTTAGAGCTAAATGAAAAGTGTTACTTCAGTTTGATGTATTTAAAGTGTGTTTAAACAATAATTGTGTTTTAATGAGTTCTATTCACATGTGAATTTTATTTTGATGGCGTAATTCTTTTTATTCTTATCTTTTCAAAAGTTATACTTTGAAAAATTTTCACATCAAAATATTCAACTTCCAATGTTTTTTATTACAAAATGGTCTTTCAAATAATCTATATTTTCACATCATAATATTCATCTTCCAATTTCCTACTATACTATATGTTACAGTATGTATCCTCTGTATGTTAGGATGTAGATATGTCGTATACTATATGTTACAGTATGTATCCTCTGTATGTTAGGATGTAGATATGTCGTAGTATGTTGTTAAGAAAGTACACCAACTTAGTCGATTGCTTTTTATTGTTAGATTGTTCGTTTGTAGATCTGTTATATCATGTTGTGAGTAGAGAGTAGTCCATCTATGAGTAGAAGGCCAAGATAATCATGACGGACCACCTTTACGATTAAGGATAAGGGGCGGAGTAGCTTTACGCTGAATGCCAAAGGGATGGACCAACTTCATGTTGAAGGACAAAGGGGTGGACCAGCTTTATGTTTGTGGTTATTATGTGTATGTGTAGACTAGAATAGTCTTCTGTATAATTGGTTCTTTGTATATACGATTTGTTCATATGTATGTATGAGGAGTTGACGGTGGAACGACGACATGACGCGAGCCTATAGACTTGTGTTGAGAATGGAACGTCGATAGGTCATGAGTTCAGATACACATGTTATCGATGGAACGAAAAAAAGCCGTGAGCCAATTTTTGTATGCATTGTATATGTATTGTGATATATGGTATGTTGGGGAACTCACTTAGCTTTATGCTTACAGTTGTACATTGAATGTTTTTCAGGTAATTCTACTGTCAGAAAGAGGAGCCCAACTTGACTGTGCGCTGTTGATTTATTAATTAGACTTCTGTTGATTCTAAATTACTACTCTGTTTTAGAAATGATTGAATAAAAGTATCTTTTTATATTAGCATTGGAAATTGTATTTTACAATGTTAGACAAATGAATTTGTTTCGAACAAATGTTATCATTATACTCTACTCTGAAAATGAAAATTTTGGTTTGAAAAGTGGGACGTTTCATTATTCCACAAAGAAAGAGACAAATATTATTATATAAGAGGTCGGTGGCGTGGCGGGAAGATGGATGGATTTGGGATTGGAGAAATATAAGAATGGATGGTGTGGAAACCTATCAACCTCAAGACGTAAGAGACTTTTTTTAGAACATTTCACTTTGAATTTAGAGGTGGATTATTGGAAGTTGGATATTTGTTATGATGTAAGATTTACTGTTAAAAAATAATTGAATGGATATGGAACAATTTCTATTATCGGATGCTAATATGTAAACAATGTGGATTTGGTATGTTAATAGAATACTGAAAAAAAGTAATCTTGGCATTTTCTTTTGGACCGACTACCTCTTCAAACAAATTTGGTCGCACTAGGTATGGATATCCCCTTGATTTTAGTAACTGGTTTTCGGGAACATGGACAGGTTTGGGATTGGAGAAATTTAAGAATGGATGGTGTGGAAACCTATCGAATTCAAGACTTAAGAGTCTTTTTCTAGAAAATTTCACTTTGAATTTAAAGATAGATTATTGGAAGTTGGATATTTCAGATGATGGAAGATTTAATGTTAAAAAATAATCGAATGGATATGGAACAATTTATGTTATCAGATGCTAATATGGAAACAATGTGGATTTAGTATGTTAATAGAATACTAGAAAAAAACTTGGCATTTTCTTTTGGACCGACTACCTCTTCAAACAAATTTGGTTACAATAAGTATTGATATCCCCTTGATTTTACTAACCAGTTTTCGGGAAGATGGATGTGTTTAGGATTGGAGAAATTTAAGAATGGATGGTATGAAAACCTATTAACTTCAAGACTTAAGATTATTCTTTTTAAAAGATTTAACTTTGAATTTAGAGGTGGATTATTGGAAGTTGGATATTTCAGATAATGGAAGATTTAATGTTAAAAAATAATCGAATGGATATGGAACAATTTATGTTATTGGATGCTAATATGAAATGTGGATTTAGTATGTTAATAGAATGCTAAAAAAATCTTAACATTTGCTTTTGGACCCACTACCTTTGAAACAAATTTAGGTATTGGTATCCCCTTGATTTTACTAATCAGTTTTTGGGAAGATGGATGGATTTGGGATTGAAGAAATTTAAGAATTGATGACGTGGAAACCTATCAACTTCAAGACATAAAAAGTCTTTTTTTAGAAGATTTCTCTTTGAATTTAGGGATGGATTAGGAAGTTGGATATTTCTGATGATGGAAGATTTAATGTTAAAAAATAATCGAATGGATATGGAACAATTTATGTTATTTAATGCTGATATGGAAACAATGTGGATTTAGTATGTTAATAGAATACTGAAAAAAAAATTGGCATTTGCTTTTGGACCGACTACCTTTTCAAACAAATTTGGTCACACTAGGTATTGATATCTCCTTGATTTTACTAATCAATTTTTGGGCAACCAAAAACAGGTAAGAGGTAACTTGATCAATACCGATTTAACCGATTAAATTGGCATCATAGGCTTTTCTCCCATAAGAAGTACCTTGGATCCATCACCTAGTATAAATACCTAATCTATTAAAAAATTTATACCGAACATAATTTTACTCTGGTTACATAAGTTTGAGAATTGAAAAATAGAATTATGTTCATCGGAACATTGATAGAGAGAGCGCAACACTAATTTTTTTCCCATCTATCATAGAAGCAGTTGTAGGGAAATTTAGGGTTTGTGGTGGAGATCTGGATAACAACTTGGATCGTCATATCACTTTCCAAACTGATATTTCTACCATATGCATGGGTTACAAGAAATTCAGCCTAGGATAATCCAAGTGGACACTTACGATTCTAGGCACAGAAATCGTAAGCCAATATGCTAGAGGATTCTGTGAAAGTATGATGAAAAAACAAGAGCTTAAGATCGTATCTCTCTTCTGAAAAGAAGAGTCGTTTATATAATAAACGATATTAGGGTTTCATTAGGGTTGAGCCGCTATACATTCCTTTGGAAGCAAGTCAGGGTAATCCGAATTTTAATGAGGATATAGGGTTAACAAAACTAACGAGTTTCGTTAGTTTTACCATAATCACCCTCAAGATTCAGAATATCCCACTATGTACCCATATGTAAAATTCGAAGAGGTTTTGGGGCGCTGCCCCTTGGACCCCAGCCAGGGGCAACTCTGCCCCTTGGACCCCGATAGGGGCGCTGCCCCTTTGGAAACCCCGGACCTAGGGGCGCTGCCCCCGGACCCCCGACTAGTCGTCGAACTGGCTACTAATTTGATCTTATACATGCGTGCACTCCACACCAACCCGTACACATATTAGAAAACAAATTAAGAAGCCCCTTAGCTCACATGCTAATTCCAGTTACATAAAATGACATGGTGACACTAAAATCACTAACAACAGCCACCGTCATTTTGGATGATGAAGCTGAAATTTCACGTCTAAGAACGAAAATAGCTCTTCAAATTCAGATTGTGAAGTTGCACACAATAGTTTTCAGTGATATTACTTCGTTGAGAATGCTATAAATGATTGGAACATGTTTTGATGACGGTTCCAAATAAGTAACCAGCCTTGGCTTAAAATTTGGTGGAACATATATTAAAATTTGGTGGAACATATATTATAGTTATACAACGATGACTATTGACAAGGATTGTTTTATTATTTAGGTTTATGTTTTTTTGAATTAGGAGTTGTGCAATATTTTTATTTTTATTTTATTATGTAATTTCTGAGATTTTTAGTTTAAGTTGATGAAATTTTAATTTTTTATATGTTAAGTGTTTCAAAATTGACAATTAAAATTATTTTTTAAAAAACAAAAAATAGGTGAAAGTTTAAAGATGCCTATAGCTATATCATACATTAAAGAAAGAGGAAGTGCCGAAGTGGAATGATTTATCGCTTTAAAGCTTTAAATGAAGTTAAATGCTGAAATATAAAAAGAAAAAATACGAGTTATATCACATAAATTTATAGCGTTAAAGAATCATGTATGCTTCACAAGTACACACTTAACAATTTAAATTTTAAATCATATTTAAAATTATGATCATTTCTAATAAATGAATGTTTTTTTTTTTGTTACTTGTTACATTTTCATTTAATTTGCCAAATATTATTTTGTGATTATTTTAAATTAATTTTTTTTTCACATGTCATTTTACGAGTTTTTTTTTTATTTTATTAAATTTCACATAATATTTTAATGTAATAATTACAATAAATATAGTATTATCATCTTTAATAAATGAAGATTTTTTTTGCCACTTGTCATTTTTATTCAATTTGTCAAATATCATATTGTACTTATTTTGAATTGATTTTTTTTTCACATGTCATTTTATAAGTTTTCTATTTTATTAAATTTCACATAATATTTTAATATAATAATTGCAATAAATATGGTAATAAATGTATATAAATTTCATTAATTAACTTAACTTTTAATGTTAAAATTTTCAAAATTAAAGTTCATTAATTTCTTTTATTTATTTAAATATAAAAGATAAAAATCATTTCGATTCTAATAATTCATTATTTTTCTTATTTTCTTATAAATTCAAAGTTATCAAATATTTTGATCATTATATTAAACTTTTTTTTAAATTAACCAATATAATACATGGGTCTTACAACTAGTTATATAATATATAACTCAATAAAAAGAAGCTTTTTAAGCAAACAACTGAAATTAATCATGTTGATCAAATTTTGTTGTAATTTAATATGAAAAATTAAATTGATTCCTACTTTTTATGCCTACAAATGTTCCTACCCAATAAAATTATGATAAGTGTCATAATTTCATATTTTTTTAACTAACTCATTAAGGCTATATTAGAAATATATCTAATACAATTAAATTGAATATTGATTTGTCATAATTTTATTGGGTAGGAATAATTGTAGGCAGGTAATTTAATTTCTTATTTAATATTGATAACAGTTATTATGTATTACTTTGTCACCAAAAATAAATCACTACACTTTCACTTTGGTTAGAATTTGAGGATGAGCAGTCGGGTACGTATCAAAGGATTCCACGCGGTATTTAAACAAAATAAAATTTAACCTAATTACTAGTTTTTGTAAATTTTAAGACCCGAATCCAAAACAGGCTTTGATTAACTTTGACATGTTTAAGTGAATCCAATCCAGAAAAATATTAAGTACCTCCTCTACAGACACACCAGCGTTCTTAAGGCTCATCTGAATGCAAGAAGAAACACCCAATCCGTCGGGTCGTGGATTAGTTATATGATAAGCATCACAATTGACTGCACCTCCCAAGAATTCCGCATGTATTGGTGCCCCCCTTTTCATTGCATGTTCTAAACTCTCCATTACCTAAAAACATGGCAAATCAATATTCACATAAACGAAACATAAAATTATGTCAATCTACACTTAAATCTGTAAGATTTATGTCGAGTTTTCTTGTTTTTTCTCTCCAAAAAAGAGGTTATGGACAGATTTATAGTGCGTCACATGGTACAAGTAAAATTACCAAAACACCAGCACCTTCACCTATGACAAACCCATCTCTATTTTTATCCCATGGTCTACTAGCTGTCTGTGGATCATGGTTTCTTTTAGACAATGCGTTAGTAGCAGCAAGACTTGCCACTCCGAAAGGAATAAGAGCAGCTTCACTTCCACCAGCAATCATCAAATCAGCCTCACCTTCACGAATATGATTCGCAGCAGCACAGAAACAAAAGTTGGATGTTGCACAAGCAGCTGAAATGGAGTACGTTGGTCCCATAAAGCCAAGATGATGAGCAAGTACAGCTGAAGTCATGTTTTGTAGGTCGTAAGGTGTGAAAAAAGGTGATATTTTCTCATAACCTCCCTCCATCAGAGAATTTAATGCATCAGAAAAAACCGACATGCCTCCCATTCCTGTTCCAACAAGTATACCAGCACGCTCCTTATTAATCTGCACACCATGAAAAGGTACTGAAATCTATTGGATCAAATATATATGAAGTTCTTTAAAGAATTACAAACCTTAGAGAGTTCATGGACTCGAAGACCAGCATCTTCAAGAGCTTTTTTCCCTGCCACAATGCAATACCGTAGATAATCATCAAGTCTCAAGTCATTTTTGTCATCTATATACCCATCTGACCTGAAATGACTAATCTGACCCCCGAATCTTGTAGGGAGCTTTGAAGTATTGAATTTATCTATTAACCTGACGCCGTTTTCCCCAGCTAAGAGTTTTTGGTAGTAGGTATCAACATCATTTCCATACACAGAGACAAGACCCATACCCGTAACAACCACCCTTTTTTTTGCATCTTTTTCTCTTTTAGGGGACGTTGCAGATATGTTAGAAGCTAATATGTAGTGGTGTTTTGTAGTAGTGCGTGGTGGTGATTTCACTGTTATGTGTGAAGTATACTTGGGGATCGGAGATAACGAGTGTGATGTTGGCCTTAGAAGAGTTTGAGTTTCCATATATATGAGCATATGTAGAGAGAGATACAAAAGTAATTCGAGAATTTTAGTGTCGTAAATAGTGTTGTGTCACTTCAACAGTTCAAATACCATATATATACATGAATATACCAAGGCACAATTTAATAAATTCCACTACGACGGGTTTGTAAGAAGTACGAGTATATTACTCAAATCTTCCATGTTGTTGTATAATTGTTGGATTGAGGGCTCAACTTCGTTTATTTTAACTATATGGCTTAAATTGGAATTTTTTTTGTGGTTTTTGATATCTTTAGTATCATTCTGTTCCGGATTCCTATTCTGGATTTGAAGGACTTTATTCTCCCTAATTAATTTATTTTTAACTAGTTTATAACCCGTGCGAATCACGGTTACAAAATTAATTAAATTTTCATAGTAAAAACTTAAAATTATTAATAAATTATTTCAAATAAATTACTTTAAATAAAATATTAATTAAGAGATATTTTTTAGTTATATAAAATTATAATCGTTAATTTAAATAAATACATGAAATTATATCACCTTATTATATATATATTAATTTTATTTTATTTTTTATTCTAATGTTATTAATTTAATGTAATTAGAGTGTGAAATTTAAAATTTGAAATTTGAAATGAAGAATCAATTATTAGTTTAATGTAATTAGAGTGAGAAATTTAAAATTAAAAATTAAAAATGAAGAATTAATAGGTTGACATGTGGCATAATAGGTGACATATAATATTAATGATGATTTTTAATATTATGACACTTGTCAATAGGAGAATAAACTTACTAATTTATTAGAATAGAGATGTGTTTATTATTTATATCCAATATCATTATTTTTTATTTTATAACTTAATTTTTTTTTTCTTATTTTTTTTGCCGTCCTCCGGTGACCATAATCTCCATCTCCGATGAGCACCCGACCCTCCTTTATCTTCCTCCCTAGAAAGATCAAAAGCCGCATGCAAAACAGATTTTGGCCAAGTACGTTTGTTTAAAAGGAGAGCAAAAGCCAAAACACAAAAACTATATAATCATCTCCATCCGCCCCACCAGACATGTTCACCATCGTCTCCATTGAGCACCCCAACGGATCTGTCCAAGTTCGTTCGTTAAATGAACATATGGGAACAAAAAAACACAATATGATTTGTTAACCTTAGATATTAAAATCAAATCGAAACTATGTAGATAAAAATCAAACCACGAATAATCCATACTCTTGAATCGATATCTGCAAAACCAACAAGTTATAAATCAATTTACAGAGAATGTTTTCATCTTCATCTTCTTAAAGTGCCAAAATAAAACACAATGATATAAAAATTCATATGAAGATGTGAATAGGTGATTTACAAATATAAATGGTGTTGCACAAAGATGGGAGGCTAGGGAGGGTTAAAAAATAGGTGATTTACAAATATTAATAATGCGTAATTGTTGTATAGCAAACTAGCTCAACTCAATGATTCAACTCATTGATTCATTCCGTCATTCTCATTGATCATATATATGTTTCACATGGTGTTTACAAGTACATAAGAACCCACTATATATAAGAAAAATGTTGGATAAACCAAAGGTGTTTACAAGTACATAACTCCTACTTAAGAAACACTTAAATATATATACAACTATGGGAATACAATGAGTTACAACTTAAATCGCTTAAATCGCTTTGACATGTATTTGGAATACAATGAGTTACACTTAAATCGCTTTGACATGTATTTGGAATAAATACTATGGAAGTGACTTTGTGAACAAGTATGTATGATTATTCTCTAATCCAACATGTTGCACTTCAATTTTTAAATTTCTTGTTGTTCATGCGTAAAGAACAATTTTAAGGAGATGTGCTTACTGTTATCCTTCTGATGTAACCATTTTTTGCTTGATGAATAATAGAAGTGTTATTTTCATATATGAAAAATAGTTTACTAGAATCAAAGATAAATCACATGTACTTCAAAGATGGAAAATTGCAACTTGTAGCCACACACACTCTCTAGTTGCCTCATAGAACGCGAGTAGTTCATATTGATTCTTCAAACTAGCAATTAGAGTACGTTTACAAGATATGGAACGTCCCTTATGGTTGTAATAAGTAACCTGTAGCATCATAGCCGACAAGCGGCTAATAGAAGACGTCTTTAATACCATTCCAGTGGCGATGTGTTCGCACAATGTTGTGTGGAGCAAGATAGTTCATAACAAACAAGATGTTCGATCAAGTACATTGGGCCAAGTATAATAACTTGCCTATTTCACGTAGACATTGTTGGGTTATGAGGGATCTTGGTGGCTTCAAAGACGCACAACGGAAGCAATAAAAACGATAATATCATCAGTCAAAAACAGATCCATGCTCAACCACATCTATTGTAACTAAATAAAGAGGAAGTAACAAAATAAAGCATACCCTTGTAGTCCCTTGAAATCTTCTTTAGATCAAGATGAAAAAAGAGTTCTAGGAGCCCAATATAAAGCTCCTATTTTGTAATCACACCCAAGATATGATGAAACAACACTTAACACCTCTGGATCTGATGAACACCTTGAACACCAAAAGCATAATCTGATCTGTGATAAAGCATGTCGTGCTGACAAAGAATTCGGAGGGTTTTGGACGAATTTTTGAGTTGTTTCAGAAACTTCAAATTTCAGCCAATTACCCCTATATATATAGGTAAGGGTTTAGGGTTTCCTTAATGTGGTTTCTTGGTAATAAAGTAACTATCTTTCATTTTAAAACCTTAAAGATTTACTAGTTTATATTAATTTATTAATATTTAATAAACTAACAAACTGAATCCTCTTTGTTTCTCTCTTATGAATTATTGCTTAAATCATTCTTGCATGTAACCCAAAATGACCTTACTATTAATAGTAATATTACCAATTGTTGTGACCGTAGGCACTATTTTCTAATAGCTCCAACTTACATTAGTCCCAACACTATATTGTCCAATATTCACTAGTAATAAGTAGATAGTGTATCATCCGACGCATTAGCATATTCGCAACTTAAAGTTGTGATACAAACCTTAGATAAGTGATCAAATATTTATATTTCTCTCTAAGATATCTATATAAACCTGTATAACAATTGGTAAAACTAAGTCAAGGTTTGTCGGCGAGCCATCGCGAACCTAACTTTAACAGGGCCTAATATATGTTTATTTGTATTATTATAAGCAAATGAAGTCGTTTTATTCTTAATTGCTTCCGGTTAAATCCGTTTTGTGCTTAGGCTTAAACCTAATATTTGAATTCTAGTTTTATAACATTTTTAACATAAAGAAAAATCGAATAAATGGAAACTGTTGAATCAAAACCTGATTAACGTGAAACTTTCAACACTATTTCACGAATTTCCTTATGTAGGAATTTATTTTTGTTTATATTATTCGAATCAACACAATCAACGGAAACGTACAAGTTATTTTAAAGAATGAAATTTCTTATTAATAAAATTTGACGACAGAAAACAATTAAACTTTTATAGAACAATTGTATATATATTTTATGTATTTGTATAAATACACAAGTATTTATATGATTTGTATTTTTATAAATACTTATGTCTTTATATGTCTTGTATTTTGATAAATGTCTAAATATAAATATACATGATGTGTATTTTTATA